TATGCCTAACTCTTAGAACGATGTCTGGCCCATGGGAGCGGCTCAAGAAGAGCAATAAAAGAAAATTGGTTAGGAAACTTAACTAGAATATGTTCAACTGAAAGTGCCTTAATGAAATAAGAATGTAGATTGTCTCACTTTAAACATAACTCTGGAGGTTGACAGTTTTGGATTAGCAGATCCAATGTCAAAGATCCTAAAAGGCAGTGATGAATTGGATGCTGAGTTACCTCATCTCTTCAGATGTCAAGGTGAGGTGTGGTAAGAGTGACAACTTAAAATATAAGTAGTCCAAAGAGTTCTCGCTGTTCCTGTCAGAGGTGTTCCGGGGATAGTGTGTCCTGGAACACATGCTCTCTACCTATCCTGTCTTCTGTGTCCCTTTGGCTGGCTGAGACAGGCTGAGGTCTCTGGCCTCCTCTAGAGCAGATCACAAAAGAGTCAAAATCACCCTCAGCTTCCACATGGCAGATGTGGAGGTGGGCTGCCTCAGATGTTTTCTCAATAAAATCTCACTGACCCAAGAATGCAGGGCCCAAGACTCTGGGACATGCCTCAACATTTGAGCTGAGGCTATGGCCTTCCAGGACAGCCCTAGTCATGAGCAAACATAGCCAGTCTGTCCTGTGGGAATGTTTCTGTGGGAACTCGCTGCATGCAGCTTCCCATGGGGCTGGCTAAGGTTTTCTTACAGCTATACCCTGTCCCTCCCTGGTGTTTCTTCCTTCTGTGTCACCATTCACATGTGTCAGGCCTGCACAACAATCTTCAGGGACATCCTCTGCACCTGCCACTCTTTTCATTAGCGGTCACCTCTGATAACTTTCATGTATGTCTAATTATAGTCTCAAGGGCCTAATTGTTGTGGAGGTTTTGGTTTATGATGTGTAAACATGTTTTTGTTTTGGTCCCAGGTGTGGGATGTGGGACTGATTCAGATGGTCCACAGCAGCAGACTATTTGTCTCATGCGGGCTCTGAGAGGGGCTCTTTGCCAGCTGTAGATGGTTTAATTCTGAGGACTCTGGAGAGGGAATAAATGCCAGAAGCCAGAGAGAGAAAGGGGGCTCTGAGAAAGAACAAGGCTGCTGGTGCTTCCCTCTGCTGCTCCTGGTCACTGTTGATGCAGTTGGATGAGAAGTTGGAGCTATCCTGAAACAAAGATTGGATTTGCCCTCAAGGAACCTGATGACCCTAACCAGCAGGAAGTAGAAAAGAGAACTCTGCCTCATCTCCCACGAACTTTCTTTCTCTCCTACCTGATATTGGGGTGTTGGAAGGGATTGGGGTGGAGCAGGGAGAAAGAGGAGCTTAAGAAATGTAAAAAAAAAATAGTTTTAAAAAGGTACAACACCTAAATGATAATTTTTTAGTTTCAGCCTCAAAGGATTCTCGTTTTTCTTCTTTATTAGCTAAAATCAGGTACTTCCACACTTTCAAAGGTTAGAGAGAATGTTTTCCAAAGAGCATGGCTGGGGTTCTACAAGGTAGTTTTTGGCAATGGAAAAATTGAGAAGAGCAGAGAGGATTAAGGAATTGGCAGTCTGTCCTTCTTTACAAGGGACAATCCAGGGATAGGGGGTGGAGACTTGCCTGATGGGTAATTTGGAAAGAATAGTTAGATATGACTATTCCCCATGCTCTTGGCTTCCCTGGGTTCCCTGCATGCCCTTGTCTCGAATTGCCCATGTCATGGAGGCTAGTGCTTACCTATTTTGCCACAGTGATAGAACCTATATGTATTAGTTCAGTGAAAGTCCACCTAGCTAATGAATGGCCACACTTCCTAGCTGATCTGGTAGTTAAGCATGACCGTCTTACTAGGTTCTAGTCGGTGGGACATGAGCAGGCATGAAAATGTATAATTTTATACGTCAATTGTCATACTGTTTTCTTAATTTTTTAAAATGTGTATGGATGTTTTGCCTGTATGTCTGTCTGTGCACCACATGTCTGTGCCTGGTGCCTGTGGAGACCAGAAGAGGTCATCAAATCGCCTGGAACTGGAACTACAGATGGTTGTGAGCTGCCATGTGGTGACTAGATATCAAAGCCAGGTAGAAAAACAGCAATTACTCTTGGTCGCAGATCCATCCCTCCAGCCCATTGTGTTTTTAAAATTGTTCAGAACTCAAGAAGGGTGAAAAGTTTATTAGATTTATTTACCAAGACGCCTGCCCTTGGGTTGGATAGACACTTGGCTTGGATTTTTGTTAATGCTCTGTCTTAAGAATCTCCTTGAGGGTGGGAAGCCAAAGGCAATCATCACACTGGTGTTGGCTTTGATATTACCGAACCCTGGACCATATGGAGCCTGCTTAAAGTGAGTAATTGGAAAACACAGATCACCCCGCACTTGAGGAATCAACTTAGACAAGCCTCCTCATGCGGGAGGTGATGAAAATCTCTGGATTTTTCTATCAGAGGCCAGAGCAGTGGTGAGTCTATTTTGACTTCATCCCTCACCGGAAGCTGAGGCAGAGTCTCTGAGGCAGAATGAATATCCTTATCCCTAACTCAAGGTGGAGGGCAGGCCTCACGAGTCACTGATCGAGAAAGAGGCAAGTTTGCAAACAGAGACCTAATCCTGTCTTCCACAGCTGTGGACCTGCTCTGCAGCAGAGAGTTGGGGCTCAGCTGCCCTCGAGCACCAGAGGCAGGGCGAGCTGGGAGTTCTAGGGAAAGTTTGGCATGGCGATCAAGTGTATATACAGACTCAGGTGCTGGTTTCCCCAGGGAAAGTGGGGTGTGGGGAGCAGCTTGACAGGTGAAAGGGGGAAAGAATGGCTGAGCATGCTTGTGGATGAATGCTTGGGTGGGCAAGGAGAGGTGAGCCCCATGGACCAGCGGAGCTGGGATGAAGCCATCAAAGACGCGTCTCTGTACTCTTCTAGGGAAGTTAGAGGCAGCATGTGCACCTCCCAGGCCAAAGCCGTGCTGCCCGTGTTAGGGAGTGTGCCATGGTTGAAAGGCTGCACGTCAGCGCCAGCTCACAAATGGGGTTCATGGCCACGTGACATCAGTGCCAGTGAAAGGGGACCTTAGTCATTTTCCTCCCTCCCTACTATAACCCTGCAAGATCACAGGAAGGAAAGGGAGAAAGGTGAGGATGACTTTTCCTTTGCAGGCCTGAGGGGGGCCCCCCCGAGCTGAATATAAAGGGAGCTGGCTTTGAACCAGGATGTAAAGTAGCAATTTCTGTTTAGAATAGACTGGTTCCTGAAATTTGGAAAAATAAAACAGAAAGGCCTGACTGGAATTAGTCAGCACAGTGACAGAAGAACTATGGGGACTGCTTGAGATTATTTTTGTTGTTTGAGATAGGGTCTCACTACATAGCCAGGGCTGGTTTTGAAGTCATGATTCTTCTGCTACGACTTCCCAAGAGCTGGCAGTGCAGATATGCGCTTAATTGCTGGGGCTATTTCAATGGGCACGTGCTGAGGAACCATCTGAGTCTGTATAAGGGCAATAGTGCTGTGGCTGGCTGACAAGTCCAGACTCCCCTGGCTGCAGGGAGAAGAGGCTGGCTCCGGGGAATGCTGCAGTTCTGATGTGGTTTGAGTTTTTGCTGGAGGCTCATGAACCACAAGCCAAGTCCTCTGTGTGGCTAAAGTTAAAAGGTGATGGAGAGCTTTGGGAAAGGGAAACTGGGCCGCCATTAGGGTTATTGCTGCTTTCAGGAGGGATGACCAGATTTTATAAGACCCTGAAGTATGGGAGTGAATTGCTATGACAGAGGACCTGGCCCTGCCACCCTCTCTAACTCCCTTTCTTGCAATGTGACTCTTTCTCCTTGTACATACATCTACCATCTGCCATGAAGTCCCTATCAGAGCTGTTTGGACTTTGGGCACTCTAAACTGTGAGTGGAATAACCCCCTTCTTTGGATATGGTCCAGCCTCAGGTATTTTGTTAGAGCAACAGAAAATGAACTAACACAGCAGGGAAGAGCCCAGCGTGAGCAGGTCCTGCTCTGCCTTAAGGTTTCTGAAGATGCTTGCTTTGAACTTCTTCCCCTCCAGGACACATATACAAAGATCCTAAAAGAGCAGCGGTTCTCAACCTTCCCAATGCTGCGACCCTTTAATACAGTTCCTCATGTTGTGGTGACCCCCAACCATAAAATTATTTTTGTTGCTACTTCATGACTGTCATTTTGCTGCTGTTATGAATCGTAATGTAAACATCTGTGTTTTTTTGACGGTCTTAGGTGACCCTTGTGAAAGGGTCACTCAACCTCCCACGGGTGTCCTGACCCACAGGTTGAGAACCACTGGGTTAGAGCTCTCTTTCAAAGCAGCCTCATTTCATTTGGGGCATTAAATTAGGACGTTTTCCTGAGCTGGCTTGCAGTGTTTCCCTGTTTTTGCCCTTGAAGTCACAAAGAACAAACACATTTCCTATGGACATTGGTACACTGTGGGCGAGTCCTCCCTGAATCTGGCCCTTCTCTAGAGGAGGGGACCCCAGCCACTCTCCTCTTTCACCACCCAAGGCAGAGCAGTCTGATGGAATTGGTGTTGTATGATGGCACTTGTTTAATGTTTATTTTGACTGTAAGTGAGTGCTTTGGTATGTGACTGACTGCTCCCTGCCTTCCGTGGAGGCTGAGGGAGGAACAGAATGTCCCAACTTCAGGTGGGGGATCAGCAAACAGTCCAGGCTGGCTTCTTCCCAATATGAGTCGAGTTCCTAGGGTAGGCGCTGCTCTGTCTGCAGCACTGATGGGTGTAGAAGATCAGCAGGGCCAAGGGTTCACAGAACAAGCATCTCCAAGGGAAGTAAACAAGGACATGTGCAAAAATGATCAAGTCTTAGACCAGGGGGACCTGGCCTAGCTTAAGGTGAAGGGGGTTAGGTAGGAAGCTTGCTAGAAGTCCAAGTCTGGCAGGCTTGGGGTCACGGGTCGCGTCTCAGGCCGGACAGAATGGACAGCAGTTTCACTCCACAGGAGAGCACTGTCTCGTCACCCAAGTTTTTGGGAGTGCCACTGGTCCTTCACTCAGTCACATCAATGGTCAGCATGGCCTTGATTGCAGGGAATTTATTACAGGAAAAGTCAGCGACCAGCTGCTTGGTGCCACTCCGGGTGGGCCGAATCTCAAATCGGATCCGAGACTTCTCCTTGGGGCGCAGGGCTGGCACACTGACGGGGAAGGATAGAGGTTAGTGTTGATGTGAAATCTAGAAGGTTCAGGCTATATGGGCTGTATAGGGCTCCAAGTTCTGTTCTAGTGGTGTCAAACAGTGCTACCATTTCTTCAGCTTTCCCAGCTGCCTCTTAGGTGAGCTGGTTCCCTTCAGTGACATCCTGCTGCAGAGGGAACAGGTAGTCTTACAGCTCCCAAAATACGTTGAGCCCTAAAGATCAGATCTTAGCACTGGCAATTAGGACTTCAAGCTTCATGAATCCTAAACAAAATGAAGACACAGATTCTTGCATACCAAGCTCCCCAAAGAATAAAGATCTGAGTCCAGAAGGTTCTCTGCCTGTCCTACCTAAAGGCTCTGGGCAGGCCCTCCTATCCCACTCTTGGCCACGCCACGAAGCTGCTTGGGCCCGGGACTCACTCGATTTTGAGGTTGCCACGCAGCAGGCCGCTGCCCTCCACCATCAGCACGCAGTCCCTCACCGGCTCGTCCAGGGGGTTGGAGAAGAGCATCTGCACGTTCACAGGTTTCTGCACCCGCGCCCGGTCCAGCACCTGAGGGGAGGGTTCAGGGGTCAAGACATTATGGCGGAGGAACAAAGAAACATTCTCTAGGATGTGTGAGAGCAGGCCATTTCATTTAGTCCTATGGGTTGGACGGCCTCCTAACCTCCATGTGGGGTACCAAGACGTCACCACTCTCCCCACAGTATATATGGAAAACCTGGGCTTAGAGAGAGACTCTGTGACTGAAGCATAAAGCTCGGCGTTTCCAGAATAGACGGCAGCTATTTTTGGGGAGAGAACCAATGCCAGTTAGTTTTCTTGAGGCCCCTGCTTATGTTTTTTTTTTTTTTTTTTTCTTAAAAAATCAGTGTGTGTCTGTCTGTATGTCTGTATGCACACACACTCAGGAGGTTAGAAAAGGACCTCAGATCCATGGAACCATCTGGTATGGTGTTGGGAACCAAACATGTGTTCTCTGTAAGAGCAGTATATGCTTTTAACTGCCATTTCTCTAGCCACCTTTTCTTTTTTCCCCATTAAAGCCATTCCTGGGAGCTGTCACAGGAGAACAGAGCAAAGACTCCTGAGGTTGCCCACATACAGACTCATAGCCATGGTCCCTTCTGGGCTTGGTCACAAGCACTGGGCCAAACAGGCCGTTTTTCTGTGGTGACACCCAGGCTATCGATTTCCTTCTCAAGTTTGGGAGCCCAGAGAATTCCTCTGTGCCATTCTGTGGTCCAGCAGGACTCCAACGCTGACTAGGATGGGGTCATAGAAGAAGAAGGTGGGATTTGGGAGCACAAAAGCAATACAAACTGCTCACCCCGAAAGGTTAGGGCTGTTATTTGCCTGCTAAGCATCAGCCATGATCTGGGCAGACATAGCTGGTAAGGAAGAATAATTAATAATCTCTCACCATCTAGCAAGGAAAAAATGATGTCATGGAAAGGAAGAGAGTGTTTTGGAAACATGTTGAAATTGCCTGACTGGCAGATTTTCTTGTCTTCCTTTGAGAACTGATGGACGTTGTTGAGTTTGTTTGTCTTTGTTTTTCTTGTCGTTAGTGCTCATGGCTACCATTGCACAGTGTCAAAGGCCAAGTTCAGACCAATTGGACAGCTCAGGGAAATCACACGCTGGGAGGCAGAAGGGCCTACCTGGTCCCAAAGCCTAGGCTAGTTTTTGACAGACACTGTAATATGGAACAATATATACTGTAAATAAGTGAAATATTAAATATCATGAATAATGTCATCTCTTTCTTGGAACTCGAAGTATATGACATAATTTGAAGAGAAAAGCACAGTTTTGTGCTGTGAGGATATGACAGTGCTATTTGTGCCACAGTCTTACTGTGGACATTAAATTTATACATCTATATCTTTATCTTTATTGTTTTTATTAACCAAGTTTATAAACACACAAACTTATATTTTTAAGTATCTGTTTTTTTATGGTTATGTATTAACTAAGGTCTATAAATATATCCAGACTGGATAAGAAACGCTGGTCATGAACTCGAAGGTTCTCACCCCTTTGGAAAATATTCAGGTTTTATTTTTGATCCCATGGTCTAAGGTCCCCATGTTAATCTATGTTAATTACCAATCAGTGTTAGATGACACAAGAAAATTTTACCCAGGATATTTTTTTTATGCATTTTCTTCATCATGAGTTTAAAACTCTGACACTGTACTGAGTGAGCCACACATTGACTTATTTGGTTGATAAAAATATCTCTGTTTTCTAGAAGCTCAACAAGAGGGGAGGATGTTTGAGAGAAAGAAAATTGGGTGTATCTTAGAAAGACTCAAGGAAACTCAGTATGGCCTACTTCTTGACTGAATCAGTGAAAAAAAACGTTATCATGTCTTTAAAGACAAATTAGACATCATACAGAAATCCAAAAAAATGTCGAACGAAACTGAATATGAATATATGAATAAAAGATGTAAGGATGTTTGAGGATTAGGGAGTAAAATTAGGAAAATTAACTTAATTTAAATGCTCATCCTTTTAGGACAAAGTGTTTTTATAGCTGAGCCGGTCACCGCCCAGTATTGTTGCCCAGCTTTGGGAGTTGGAGAGAACACTCGGCTGAGAGGGACAGAGAGAGCTTCCGAGAAATGCCTTGTGAAGCAAGGGAGGCCCCACTGGGCAGGAGCTTCCCTCTGGGAAGGGAGGAAGGGCAGCCCAAGCCACCAGCTCTGCTACAGTTGTGCCCATGGAGGGTGCTGTTCCTGTTTTTTGAGGTATACGTGGTAAGGTGACCCCAGAACAGGATTAACACCTGTTCTATTGGTATTGGCTACCAGACAGGGGAACAATTTGTTATACGAAGGTATGCTTTTAGCTGGGACAAATGTTTAGAATGTTCTGAGGGCGCCTAACTGGTGACCAGGCCTAATCTGTGAAGATCCACCCTGAGAGACAAACATCTTCTCATTCCCCTGACAGCTGGAGGAACAGACTTAGCCAAAGGAACCCGGATACAGAGCCAAGTCCCTTTAGATGCAAGGCCCAAGGCTGGAACTACTGTCCCCCAATGGCTGTCAGATTACCTGAGGTCAAATCACCCCGATTCTGAAGCATAGCTGGACCATAGCTGCATGGGGAAATGGGGTCCTGCTCAGAGTGGGCACCCTATGCCCCTGTTTGGACACCAGGAACCCTAGGAGCTATGGGAAGCTTAGGAGAGGTGGGACCAGGGCTGACACAACTACCTGGATCCTATACCATGAGGACTCATGAAATCAGAAGTGGGATTGTGCGGGAAGAGGCAAGCATTGTAAATAGATAAATTAGACGAAGGGTGACCCAATCCACTAGGCTCTTGTGTACGTCGCTAGGGAAAACCCTGCCTTTTTTGCTCACTGCCTGGTGGCTAGTGGGGTTCCTAGGACAAGGGTCTGAGGGGGGCAACCCGTCCCATCCTCTTACCTCCAGGGTCAGAGTAGGGTTGTCCAGGATGACATCCCGCTCCACCACCACCTCAGCCTCATCCGCCACCTTGCAGATGGCTGTGACCCGGATCATGTTGTCCGCCTTCAGGTATCTATCATACTGAGAGTATGTAATCTTCACCGGCTGCTGTCTTTCTGAAAGGAGAAGCAGGGCATGGGCGGGCTGGGTGTGAAGATGAGCTCTGAGATCGTCTTTAGAACTGAGTTGAGGGGGGCTGAGCTGGCAGTTAGGTAGTCTATTGCTTTCAAAGCCTTCAGTACTCAGGTCTTGTGGGGTTCACGTATGTGTGTTTCTTGGATTTGGTTTGGATTTTTAGCGTGTGTGTGTGCGCAGAACAGGGGTTGAGGAGGTGCCAGGATGTAACTCAGCAAGCAGAATCCAAAAAAAGAGGGACTTGAAGGGCTGAGATGCAGCTGCCCCTCCCATTGCTGGGAAATGTCAGAGTGAGCTTCCTTGTCAGGGACAGGGGAAGAAAAGGATGCTAACTTCTTGCCTAATGGCAGTGACAATAAGGATGACAACACAGTAATGACTAGGAAGGGAGGCCAAGGCATGGACCTCCAGTCATCCGTTCCTCCAGTCATCTAATGAGCTGCCATTCTCGGGTGGCAATGCCCTCCCCTTCCTCCCTCCCTTTGGGCTCTCCTGCTTCAAAGCTGCTCACAGGCTAGGCAGGCAAAGCTTTAGAGACCACGCAAGGTTTTCTACATCATGACACTCCTCTTTTGCTTCACAAGAAAAGCCTTACATGGTTTCTTCTTGCCGCCTTACGAATAAAGTTCAGACCTTCAACGTGGCCCTGCCCCAACTGTGCAAAAGGCACCTCTTCTTGAAAACAAATAAACAAACACCCCACACTTTCTCTTTATTCTCTACACAGATCGGGCACATTTCTAACACACCTTGACTTGTGGATTTTCCCTCAAAGGAACATTCTCTTCTGGCTTCTCTCTAGGCTTTAAAGACTCTTCCTGTGACCCTGGAGACAGGATCCAGGGCCTGTACATGCTAAACTCATATTCTTATCGTGAGCTTTCACTCTACAAACATCTCCTAACCCTGCAGGTCAAGGGACTCCTCTCTCTTCAGATGGTCTTGGGCACTGTTCTCCTCCACACAGTTGTGCTTGGTAGCCAAGGCTAAGAAAACTAGGAGAAAGTCCCCTCTGCTTTCACTGCTGAGAGGATTGGCTAGAGCTGTCCCCAGCATGGAGAAGGCATCCTTGAATCAGAAGATCCAACCTTCTCAGTAGTCCGACTCTGAGGCTCATGGAGGGAAGGAGACTCATCCAGGCTTACTCAGAAAGTCCCTGAGCATCAGGATTCCAGGACCACTTCACCTGCCTTCTCTCTGCTTTTCATCTGTTTATTACAGATGATTAAAATTGTTTCCCCCTTCATATGGAATATGTTTTGGCCTACAGAAACAGAGTGTCCTGGGCAAGAGACGCACCTTTGGTAGATGTTTTGTCTAGCATTCAGAAGACCCTGGGCTCCTTCCCCAGGTCTTCTCCCACAAAAAAAGAGCTTCTTTTATTTATTTTTTAAATAGCAGCAGTTGCTTCTGAGATTGAAATTTCTGCTGGAAGACAAGCTGTGAAGAGATGCTGCTTTTTAGCAGAGGCAACACAGCTCAATTTCTCCTGAAATTCTTTCAGGGCAGGCTGTATAATTAATCAGTTTCTATTAATTCTTGAGGTGAAGCAAATGGCCACCCCACCCTTGTTAATCTGCTTTGTCAGCCTAAACTTTTCATAACAGCTCAAAGATTTTGCCAATGTGAGGCACACCTACATTCTAATCCCACAGAATCAACCTCCCTCTGCTCCGCCTTGTTCCCTTCCCACCTGGGCTGCCCTGGAGCAACAAGTCACCAAACCTCCCAAATGCTTAGATCTCCAAGAAAACCCATCACTGTTATCGGGAGTCCAGAAACTACACTCAGACCTTGAAAGCTGTGGGCAACATGAGGCAAGGATTTAAGACCCTAGGACCTATTGCAGACCATCCATGGCCAAACTTACAACAAGGTTCGGGGGATGAGGGCAGGGTAGCAGCAACAAAACCAGGAAACCAAGATCCAAGACCTCATCACTGGCCCTTCATCACTGTGGCACATGTAAGCCATATGTATCTGAAGCCTTATGTGTGCCTCCATAACATAGGTCTTGAAATCCATCCCTTTTAGAAGGTCAGATGAGGTTACATTCACTCTGGAAGTCATGCAGGGTGGCACAAACCTGTACAGGGCCTTGTGACATGGCTATGAGTTGGAAAAGCCTCCCTTCTTCCCTTGCTAGGGCGTAATAAATATGTAGTTAGCACCACAGTGACTGGCCTTGCTCATAGGACAGCAATTTCCAGAGCACTTGGACTAAGGCTTACCCATGGTAAGGAAGCTATTCACTTCTCTGCCCATAGTCAGCTGACTCATCAAAAGCCCAGCAAGAGCCCTTTGGTGATAAGCTCCTTAGATTTATTGACTCCAACCAACCACAGGATAAGTTACCTTCTTCAGGATCCAAGGATATTGTGGCAGACTCCTTCCATACTTCATGAACAAGGGTACCATTGTAGACGATGGTCCAGGCGGTCATGTTCACTGACACTATCTTCCTATCTCCAGTCAGGTTTTTGAGAATCAGGGCCACACTGACTTCTTTTCCGACTGCCAGTACACCGGTGACCTTGAACCTACCAGAAATGCTGGGCTCCCCTTCCTCCCCTGCCAAATCCCTCGCAGACGTAGGGTCGAAAGTTGCATTAGGCTTGAGTTTGCTCAAAGCCTTTTGGTGCACTTCTCTTTCCTCCCTGGAACCTGTGTGTTGGTGAGAGAAACAAAAAACAGAACAAGGATTCCTCAGGGATGTGGCTGGAATTCAGACAGTGAATAGTATGACCTGCCTGGAAAGTGACCTAGAACTAACATTGACACTACTTCTCTGTGCCAAGTTGCTCCAGGCGAGTGTCTGATTTTGTCAGGTCTCCACCAACCCTTCTTAGAATAAGGCTTCCAGATAAGCTGGTCTCTGGTCCTTTTCCAGTTCAAGTCCACACTGCTAGGAAGCCACCAGGAAGGCTAGCTCTATGCAAACATTATTTATGAAGGCTTCATCATTTCTTTGTTTTAAATTATATTTCTTTCATTTTCTCCCTTCATCCCTCCCTCTATTCCTTCTTTTCTTTCCTTTTCTCCCTTTCTTCCTCTCTACTTTCGATCTCTTTCTCACTTATTTTCCCTCTCTTTGGATGAAAGGTCTTTTGTGAGACTTGAAGAATAAACCAATAATTTAGAAACAAAAGGCAAAACTGAATTGAGAAGAGTTAGAATGAATCCATAAGCAAAACCGAAGCTATGAGAAAGAACTTCAGAACACCTCCCCATGTCCCCTTGCCTTGTGTCTAAAGGCACTTTGAGAGTCAGCAAGTGACACTTTTGTCTGTGCAAGTCAACAGGAACTTCCTGTGGCAAAAAAGGCTCTGAGTTATGACAAGTTCAAATTGCTGAAAAAAATTAGAGTCTTGAAAACGCAAGGGCTAATATAAGAGAGTGCATTTCCTGATTGAATAGGTGCTGCTGACTATGACGGCAGAAGCAGCATGCAAAGAGCATTGGTGACACTATCAAGGCCGTGCGTGGCAAGTAACTCCAAGCCCAGGCTGACAAAGCTCTTTGCCTTGACCTGAAGACACCTGCACCATACAGCAGAGGTCCTGGCCTCCCAAGAACATAAAGAGTGGCAATGTTGGCATTTGTGGCCCGTACGCGTTCCCCAACCAACTTGTGAAAATTTTAAGGTAAACCAGAAGGCTTAAGATAAGTACTCTACCAGTTAGTGAGTCCTTTCCATGAATTATGTAAATTTCCTGGCAGGGACTTCAGAGACTCACATACCTAAGAGAAACTACTGGTTTGGACTACTCTGGGATTTGGATGAAGAAAGAAAGATACTCATCTCCAGGGATCTGGAGCTCTGTCCAAGGATCCGCCCCTGTACCCACCCTGCTGCAAAAGGTGGCTAGATTACCCGACTGGAGAGCTCCCGGAAGGCCTGGTTCCTCTGGATGCCCTTCCATTCTCTAGCTGAGTTGCCAGTCCACACCCACGGCTGAAGGCTGTGCTGAGACTGAGCCTCTCTGCCTGAGTCCTTGAAGCAGGCATTTGCACAAGGAGGTTCCAGGGCCTATATAGGTCACCTGCTGAGCTTACTCAAGACTCTGCTTCCTGCTGCTGTTTTCCCACTACAGTTTTGCTATTGTGTAAATGCTTAGCAACCTATTTTATGAGCTTTTCCTGCCTGGGGCCCTCTGAGACCAAGTGGCATCATTGGGCAAAAAGATCTGGGTGACATTAGATAGCTGCTCCATTCTGCTGTCATGCATGATACTGGCACTGCCAGAGGTCCTGTAAAGAGCTTCCTGCCAGGCCCCTCTCCATTGCTTAGCAGGTAGAGGACTCCGGAGAAGCAGGCTCAAAGTGTGAGAGTAACAGAGAAAGTCCAGGCTCTCACAGCCAGGTAAGCAGTACCTAACTAAATAGTCTGTGGGAAGCCATAATTCTAGGGAGGGTACAGCTATCCAAATGGACAAAGATCACCATCCTACTCATTAAGTGCTTACTGTGTGCCAAGCACTGTACTGTACATTTTTTGTATTGAAATCCAACCCAAGAGAGACACTGCTATTCCTGTTTTATTGGCAAGGAGACAAGAAAATCAGAGAGCCTATGAAGCCTGTTATAAGTGATAGGTAGGAGTGACAGTCACCTTCTGTCCTGGCTTGTTTGGTCCCTGTTCCCTTACACCATGATGTTAAAAATACCAGTCAGGGGCTGGAGAGATAGCTCAGAGGTTAAGTGTACTGGCTTCTCTTCCAGAGGTCCTGAGTTCAAGTCCCAGACATGGTGGCTCACAACCATCTATAATGAGATCTGGTGCCTTTTTCTGGCCTGCAGGTGTACATGCAGACAGAACATTGTATACATAATAAATAAATAAATCTTAAAAAAAAAAAAAAGAAAATACCAGTCTGGCACCACCTGCCTCTCCTATGGCACCATCTGCTGTTTCATCTACAGGGGACCTGGAATAGGCATTAGGGCAGAACTTGTGGAAGTTGTCAGAATCAAAATACAATCACTTGTGTCAATCATAACAAAAATAAACAGCTAAATGAAGCCGGGAGGTTACAAAGGAAGAGCTGTTCTGCATCAATGCCTGATAATTGCTTTGGCAAAAGACTGCCAGAATCATGAGCTTCTACAACCCAGCAACGGAAGAACCACAGGACATCTGCCCAGCAGTTGTCTGCCCAACCTTGTACCAACACCACCTTCGTCTTTAACCACTGTGGCCAAAAACTGCTGTCTTAGAACATCTGCTATAGTCTTCCTCATTTCTGTCTCTAAAAACATTCTCCTTGCGCCGGTCCCTTTGACTACACAGATAGTTTACTGTGGCATGTGTGTTCTCTTTCCAGTGCTCTACCACCCTCAAATACATGCATTTCTCTTTTAGAGAATCTCAACAGTGTTTACTGACTGAGGGCAACCTGCAAAATACCCATCTAGCGGTGCCTAGAGTGGATGCCGCTGGCCTTGGAGCCAGACTCCGCCTCCTGGAGCCAGTGTTCTCCTGTGGTCACTGGTTAACACCAACAGCCAGCACTTGTCAGAGATTAGCCTGCTAAAGCAACTGATAAATTATTCTGGGCCATTTCTAAAGTTGAACTACACCTTCAAATGGAGAGCTTTGGTTATCATTGCTGTCCTGCTGGTTCCCAAAGCAACTTCTTAGTGACAAATTAGTTGGGGACTTCACAGCACATGGCTTCCAAGGTGACTGTAGGAAGACAGCAGTAATACAGATAATAGAGATTTCAGGGACCACGGCATTAGTCTCCTCAGACCTCTGGGCTGCTTAGGGGGTGGGGGCTATGAATGTAGATGGCACAAACCCATATCCATGATTTTCTTTGTCTATTTTTTTGTTGTTGTTGAGATGGCATTTTCTGTCTATATTTTTGAAGTGGACTGAGAGAGAAATGCGTCCCAAAGCCCTTGAGGACCATGCCTCTCCCTGTGATGTTCAGTCATAGTGACATATGCTCAGTCGTACAATTGAGAAAGGGACACACCTGAAGGTGGGCTGGGCTTACAGCTGTCTGGGCTCTAAAGCTAACCTCCTCAGGTGTTGTAGCTGTCCTTGATGCCTCTGCCCCAGTGAAGACAACAGGTGAGTGCTTAATGGTAGAGAGACATCCTCCCATCTGTGCAGAACTAGCTGAGATGGAGGGGTGTCAGGCAAAGGCTCTTTTCGCTGTACTCTCAGAGCTGTCCATCCATCACCAAGCCCCACATGGCATCACTCGTCAGCACCAGTCCTACCTTCTGGATGCTTGTACTTGTCTGTGACATCCAAACGTGAGTTGCTTCCCACCGCCTTGGTGCTGATATATTTGCCAATGGAGTGAGTGTCCAAAGAGTTCTGCTTCTTGTTGCCATTCCTCGTATTATAGATCCAGGTGATGCGATCAGCATTGACTTCCGCGAAGATAAAGACCATGTCGAAGTTCAGGTCCACGTCACCCTCTCGGATCCCATTGACTGAAGCAGGACCGCACTGGAACACACCTGATGGCCAAGATGCAGAGTCTGGATGCATGCAAACCACAGCTAAGCCCACCCGCTCCAGCCTGCCTAGGATCTGCCTTGCACCGACATGTCAGTCCTTTGCCAGACTTGAGCCCTGACTGTGACCCGTTGGTCTGGCACACAGACCATTGCCATTGCCATCATCACTCTGTACCAAGTCCCTGGTCCAACTTCACTTACGATTGGCTCAATTGTATGCGTCTCACCTGGCTGACCCACTGATGTCAGCCTGGTCTTGCCATGAAGTGCTGCCTTCCGCCTATGAACTCATGCTAGCCCAGAGGCGCATTGACCTCTTATTTCTAGATGTCTTTCTTGAACATCGAGTGCTTGGATCCCTTGCTCCTCTGAGTTCCTAACCCCAACCTTCATTTTTATCCTCCAGTATTCAACTCAGGTAGATTATTTGGCTAGATAAAGACAGACACATATAGAAACACACTATATACATATATACATACATACATTACATATTATATACATATGTATGTGTATTAGTCCACACGTTTGCCAAACAAAAAGATGCACACATGACATTTTATCCATGGAGGAGAGTGACTCAGATTTTTTTTTTTAATCATAAATCACAGATAGTAAATTTGACATCTTGCATACATGAAACACTTATCAATAGTCTTATTAGTCCCAATATTTTACTTTATTCTCCTTTCTGTTCTGTTTTGTTTTCACTTCTTGACATGGACACAATTCATTAACTTGATTTTATAACCACTCCTGAGTTGCACTGAAAAGTTAAAAACAGTGGCTAGGAAATATTGGAAAGGTTCCTCTCCAGCCTCAAATTTACAATATACCGTGGTTTTGTTAGGAAGGTCAGGTGTTACTGGGTGAGGTAAGGTATGAGGGTGACAGTAAGTGGATTTTTATTTTACGTGTTTTTATAATTATCTGAGTTACTCAGACTGTTTCAATTATATCATGTATTATTTTATATAAATATATATTAGTTTATACATTTTTTTTATTGTTTGAAAGAAACTCAAAGTGAAGGTAACAGACAAGACAGGCTTCTCTAGAGGTTAGAGGCAGAAGAAGAAAAACCCCAGAGGGTCCAGGATCCACCATTAATGGGAGAGAAGGAGGTAAAGACAAAAGCGACCACATGGGTGGCAAGGCAGCCAGCTACAGGGAGACTAGCCTCTCAGAAGGCACACAGGAGAGGCCGGAAGCAGCCCCTTCCCCTTGGGCCTGTCACAGACAGAGTAATAGGACTGGAGGGTACTCCCCCGCCCCCCTTGCTTGATCTGTGGTAGCAGCAGCCAGAGGGGCTGCAGAGGGAGGATCCATTTAAACAGCAGCATCAACAACACAAAATAAGGAGAACCCTATTTAATAGAAAGTTTCACCCCACTGGGCATTGTGCTAAGGAGGGCTTTGGGTTACTTCCTTCCATAAATAACAGAGTTGAGCTCAGAGTAGCTCCAGCACGATTACCTTGGCTCCTCTCCTGGGGGGTGGCGTCCAGCACCTGCCATCCATTGTATGAAGGGCCTAGGTCAGGCCGCACGAACCAGCCTTCATTCCAGACATGGAAATTCCTGCAGACAGAAGGCCACATAACAAGTGAGCGGCAACACCACGCCTCTGACCAACCGACAGAGCTCCCAGACCCTCCCTGAAGATGCTCCCTGAGCCGGGGACTCTGCTAGTCCCGGTGGGCATCATCTCCCTAAAGTCCTCCCACGCCTGGAACCTGAGGCTCAGAGACAGAGCTGGGGTGAGCGGGGGCCCTGCTCTGAAGAGTTAGAATCAAGGGAAAAGAACGTAACTTCATCTAGAAACTGCTCAGGTGTCTGGGTGACCCTTGAACCACGCATGCATGAGGCAGATCATGTAGGCCAGCAGATCATGTAGGCCGGCAAAGACGAGAGAACTGAGCAACTCCTACTGTACTAAGGTGATTTGCAGTCACGAAGGAGTTTGCTAGTAGACAGTTAAGACTGTAGCCACTAAGCACACCTTGGGTATAAGCCATACATTAATTTAGCATACATTAATTTAGCCTAAAGAGAAAAGACAGCCATGCGTTGGAGTTGCCAGGCAGCTCCTCTAACCAGAATCAGTGACATAAAGGAAAATATATTCGCAGAGAACAAAAAGAGATAAATAAGAATATTCTGGAAGGATAGAGTGGAACGTTTCCACTGCAGCCTCCCTGATATCTGAAATTGAATAACTCAATGGATGAGTTTGTTAGGAGAATAGCTACAACAGAGGAATGATGAACACACTTGAAGAGGGATCTGTGCATCACTTGAAGAGAGATCTGTGCATCACTTGACTTATCTAGTCTGGAAAAAAAAATGATGAAGAAGAAACAGTAAAGTAGAAAATAGGTACAGCACATACGCCAGACAGAAACATACCATATTAAGATTATAAAATACCTACAAATTAATAAAAGCAAAAGAAAAGAAAAACATGCCAATAAAGAGCGATGAAGTTTTCATAAGCACTATAAACAATGACTGAACAGATGACACTCATTTTAACCTCGACGCTATTAAAAGATTAAAATGACAAAGAGAAACCATGACAGCCTTGCAGATCCCGCCTGCTTGGCTAGCAGAGATTAAAGTGTAGGCTGCGGCCTTGTTTACTTTCAGGCAAGAAAGCAAGTGTTACTACCGGGGAGGATTTAAATCAGGATGGCCTTTGCAGAGGGCAATTTGACAATGAGTAGGAAAAAAAAAATCTCTAAAAATTTGCATACTCACTAAACCTGTACTTCCTCCATGAGGGATTTCTCCAGTTGTGTGTGTGTGTGTGTGTGTGTGTGTGTGTGTGTGTGTGTGTGTGTGCGCTGCTGGTGGTGGTGGTGGTGGTGGTGGTGGTGGAACTCATGAATATGCACAGCTGTTCAGGTTAAGGTGCTCACTTCAGCATTGCTTGTGAGAGCAAGAATGCTGGAAGAAAAATTTCACCAGTAAAGGGATGGCCGGATAAATTGTTGCACAGCGGTAAATAAAACACCACCCCGCTGTAAAATAAATAGCAAGCAAAGTGGAGCTAGTATTTAACACAGAGAGGTTGTCTCAAATACAGCATGAAGGGGAAAATGAAACGAAAAGTCTGTGTTTGATGCTGGTAATCCTGGATGCCGAAGCAGGAGGATGTGAACTCCAGGCCAGACTGGGTTACATAGTAACACACATCTCAAAGACAAAACAAACCCCACAATGCACACAAATGTAGTAATAATAAAAGTACAATTGGTAGAGGAGTTAAGGAAAAGAAACAAATGTTTAGAAAATTATGTATGCTATAAAAATGGCAATAGCAAAAATAATGCAAAGATGGAAAGTTAAGTATTCTAACTGCCTTCCGTGCAGTTACTCTCTTTTTTTGTGTGTGGTGGTAGGGGTCAAACCTGGGACCTTGTGTATGTTAGGCAAGCCCTCTGCCATTGGTGCATAGTCCTGCTCCTTTAGTCATCGACTCTATAAAATGGAAATAATTACCATCCCCCTTTTTGTGATTCTTAAACTGTGGCAGCAAGAAAAGCTATCCCCACACTGACAGTGAGTAAATTTGAATTCAAGTATAAGGGAGGGAAAGGGAAATGAATTTCGTGTTAGCAGGAAATGTGGTTAACAGTTTAAACACATGATTGATATTACACTTAAAAAATAATCTCGCTTTTGAAGGCTCTCTGATGGCAAGGAGCGTATGCTTATGATATACTATTTACTCAAAAGTATATGATTAACTGGGGTTGTAGCTCTGGTAGAGGGCTTGCCTTGCATGGGCGAGATTCTGGACTCTGGGCTGGGGGGCTGGTGGATTAAGGTGCTTGCTTTGTAATATTCCTGGAAGCCACATGATGAAAAGAGAGATCTGACTCCCACAGATTGTCCTCTGACTACCACACACTAACTGTGGCACACATCTGCACCCAATATAAACACACACAAACACACACACACGAGTTTAAACAAAGAATTAATATTAAAAAAATTTAAAACTCTAGGCTCAGTCCCCATACTGAAAAACAAGCAAATCCTATGATTGAAAGCTTCCAAATATGAAAAGTAATAGGATGCATCTATTACATGGTCTAGCTCGTTCTTGAACTTTGAAAAATATATTATCTTAATTCTATAATGAATTTTTAAAAAGCACTAAGGAATGGATAGGAAACTATCAAATGTTAAAACTTCTCTTATGTTTTGAGAATTCCTGTAACGAGAGAAAAAAGCTCCGGAAAAGACAGACATTCCTGCCTCAGAAGTCTGCTCCTTCCGGCTCCTCACCCGCACTAACTGTAATGCAAGCCTGGAAGTTTTACAAGCCATTACTCTAGAGCTTGTCTTGAGCTCTGTCACTTCTGAGTTCCTAGGGTGAGGAGATTCTGCCTAGAAAGTGGTCTCGGACCTCAGTTTCCTCTGAAGGTAAACTCCAAACACAGACTCAGGTACTGTCTCATGAAGACATCTTCCCAGATGTGGGGAGTGTGCGGAGCGGAACCCTGTGCTGCCTCTGAGCCTTGCACATCACCCAGGGGTTCTGTTTGACTCCATAACGCTGCTGTCTGTGTGCAGTTATAAACTACTCTAGTACAGCCCCTGCTTTTGACTTTGGGCACCCAGTATCTCAGTGCAAAGGCTAAGTCAAGCTCGCTGATTGGAACTGCTCTGGCTGGGGACAAGGCCACTGTGGCAGCCTTCGTGACCTCCATGCAGATCAGGTGGTGAAGGGTTAGGAGGGGCAGGAATCGGAAGGCAGAGATCTGTGCAGGAAGACGGGATGGGCCAGTGCAGAAGAATGGGGGCCAATAGCTCTTCTTTGAATACTCTACGCCCTAGGCAGGGCAGAACCCACCTTCCCCCTACTTTGGAGTTCTGCAAAACCTACAGGTAGGGTCCTGTGTGTGGTTACAGAAATTCAGAGGGAGAGGGAGAGGGAGAGGGAGAGAAAGAACAAGCTAGAGTCATCAAGAAACCTTGGGCAACTTTTTCTAATAATTTGACTGATGCTGCCTGAGCAATCTCCAGAGTCCTTCCCTTCACAGTGGCCCAGCAGGAACCTGGGTTAAAAACAGCAAAACAACAACAACAACAACAACAACAACAATAACACGCTCCTCCCCAACATGAAGTTATCCCGAGGACTCGGGATAGACAAGAAAGCTTAGCCTCTTAGGCCAAACCCAGCATCGGTGAAATGGCCTGAGAAAAAGGTGTACTCTTTGGAGGCTGTGGGTGTGATTAAAAGAAAGCCCTGGAAGAAATATCAAAGGATTCCTAACCCAGCCCTTCGGTTCATAGGCAGGAAATTAAGTACGAAAAACCCATACAATAAAAACAACAAAAAGTGATTAAGCAGCTTGCAGTCGGAGAGATCTGTCTCTAGCCGCTCATCTTTAGACAAGTTACAGGCCCACCAGGGGCTGGTTCCAGGATCCCCTCAGGGAAGCAAACTGCAGTGCTCACAAGGGATTTGAGTATTGTATGATATCATTTATCATATATGAATGAATAATGGAAAGCAGAGGTCTATCGCGTTCAGACAGACAAAATCATGGTAGGCCTAAGCACATTTTCAGTTCACAGGCGGTTGAGTCTGGGAATGTGGGACTCATAGAGAGGTCTGATTGTAATTCTTGGTGGGCTTCTCTTCCCTCTTCTGTAAGATGTCCAGGATCCTCCCTCAAATTGCCCCTAGTCCTGATGTTCTCCGTGTAAACGGAAACCCATTCATTATATCCCAACTGTAGCCCAGTCACAATTCGCAGTGTGACTTTGGGAAAGCCGTTTTTCTTTGTGGCGCCCCTGAGACATGTTTGGTCTTTTCAGGAAATGTCATTTACTGTTTAAAGTGAGCCAAGGAACCCAGCTTCTCCATCCAAGCGGGTTAGACAGAATCCAACCTAACCAGAACCCATCTTCCACATCGTGGTGGCCTGCCAACCTCCTCTGCAAAAGATCCAGATAGGAGCTGCCATATTTCTCAGGCTTTAGTCAGGGGAATAGACAGCAACAGCATTCTCTGGTGCTTGGGTTTAAACCTCCCTGAGTTCAATCTCCCTCCAAATCTACTTCCTCATTACAGAGAAATTATTGGGGGGATGGTATTATTCAACCTCTCAGTTCCTCAGTCCTTCACCTGTAAGTTGGGCCTGAAAATAAACAACCTAACAATATCTCTCTCCTGATCTGGGAAGTGGGAATGTCAGCATGGAGGACACTAGGGGGCATGCAGCCATGTGTCAGCTGCTTTACCATTGTCAACGGCTTTCTGATGCCTAACTCAAATTGATTGCTACCTTCTGTAATGTCAGGCTCATACCGATGGGAGTTTAAATCTAAAGCTTCCAACATTGATGACATAAAGCTTTAGACCCAAGATTTTCTGCCAGAAATTAAGCCATGCTTATTATAAAAGAATAGTAGTTCTGCTCTCCTTGGGTGTAATTGACCTGTGGGTCTCTGGAGGGAGCAGCCAGATCTCATTCCAAATTCAGGGTCTGAGGATAAGAATATGGTTGAGACTAAAGACCCAGTAAGAGGCTTGAATGATAATTGATCCTAGACCCACTCTTGTGCCTCACTGGTGGAGAAACGGGAGCAGGAGGACAAGGTGGCTTGCACAGGTCCACAGTATGTCAGTAGAGCTGGGAAACAGGGCTCGGGATTTCCTGTCCTAACCATCCAGGCCTGGTTCTCTGAACACAGCTTCCAGGGAGTGGGGTGGGGATTGGATATCGTTCCTCTTGCTGTCTGAGAAGGGGCCCACAAAAGAAGTTAGGAGAGCAAGGGTGACGGGCCCTACAGGAACAGTCTGATTCTAGATCTGGAATCTTCCCTTAAAGCCAACAGAATGACAGTGGAGTCATCCAGGTCTGTCTGCCCCAGGCTCTGCTTGCCCTAAAGGTGATCATGTTTGGAATAAATGACTAAGTTGCCAAGAAAACAAGCTCAATTTAAAAGCCCCCCTCCCCATTTCTGTTTTGTTGAAGCTTCTCTGGAGGATTCCTTCCTTGGATTCCAACAGGGCTTAATCTGAATCACTCGTCTGGACATCGTACATCATGCTCAGTAGCCATTCCTAACGCCCTGCCCCTTGTCCCCAGTTCTGCTGTGAATGCTTTCAGCAGAGGAACTGACTCTCAAGTTGTGTGGTCTCCTTGCAGCTCCTGGAGTGCTAGGCCATCAGAGATGGGCTAAAGCAAAAGATCAGCCAGGCTGCCCTTGTTTAGCGAGCTGTCTCCTCTAGACGGACAGCCCCAGTGATCAGGACTGACCATGGGGGGGGGGGGGTTCAGACCCAACAAACAAAAACTGGGAAGAAGGAAAAATATTCATTTGTGGGAAGCTGGAGGACAAAACTCTTGTCATAAGTATTGATGTCACTAGAGAAAAAGCTATATATCTACCAAGAAAGGAAAAAGTCCTAATCAGTCCCTGGAAAACCTCCCCAGGCCACGTGTGTAGATGCACATAGAATGCATGTTCACTGTCCTGGAGAGACCACACCTCCGTCAGCTCAGTTGTTGGCACAGGGTTGTTTATTTGTGCTAACAAGTTTCTGCACTTTTTTATTTCATTTTATTCTGTCAGACTAAACACGATTAAAAAAAGTTGGACCTTCTTATTCTGGAAGTACTAAATAGCATGCTATATAAAGCAATCTCAAAGATGGACAAAATGATATCTGCTATAAAGTTCATCCAGTCCTGTGGATACTTTTGTGAGCATATGTGTCATTTGAAACTGACTCAAGTGATGGATTATTGAGTGTGTGTGTGGCTCCTTATATAGGGAGACCCACACCTATCTATGCAGATATACAGATATCGACGCCATTTTCAATTGATAATAACCCACAATATGGTAGAAGCTTGCATGGTTGTAATTATATGCTTATATTGTAAACACATTGCTCTAAGTACATATCTTCTTATTTTAAGTTTTATTTAACTTGCTTCAAGCTGGCATCTATTTTAGATTACATATATCTGTGTGCATATGGCTACATGTGACTATAGCATTTTTAGGGTTAGAAATATATGAAGCATAAATGCATAATTTTTAAAATTTTCTCCTACATCCCAGAACAAATGTTTTTATTCTGTCAACTAACATGCATAATATATATACACACACGTATAAGCTATGAGAAAATGTATTGCTTTTTTTTTTTTTTTTGTCTTGTTTAAGAAAATACGCTGGACCTGGTAGTGTATACTTGTAACCCCAGCACTCACAGCGGAGGTGGAAAGATCTTGAGTCTGAAGTTGTTTTGGGCCACAGACTGTTCTCTGACTCAGAGAGAGAGAGAGAGAGAGAGAGAGAGAGAGACCCCTCCCAAAGGAAAAAAATTCTTAAGTCATATGGGTTGCTTGAGTTAAGATTAATTTGCATTTCTTTCTTTCTTTCTTTCTTTCTTTCTTTCTTTCTTTCTTTCTTTCTTTCTTTCTTTCTTTCTTTCCTTCCTTCTTTCTTTAAATCAGTAGCTTTAATTTTTAACTTCTCAACTGGGGCAAGGTCTAACGGATACTCTAAAGCCAGAGTGGTCTGCTGGCAGTCCTGGCCCTGCTTTTCACTGCCATCAGACCCTTCCAAGGGCTGAACTGCAGGCTCTTCAGGGTACATGAATAGCAGCAGCAGCAGCAGCAGCAGCAGCAGCAGCAGCAGCAGCAGCAGCAATTTCTCCTCTGAACTGGGCGTACCCCAGCTCTCTTGCTACTTTCCTTCTACTTCAGTGTGGAGCTGGGTTCCAGGGGAAGGTGAGAGAGTTTCTCAGACTTGCTGCTCCATGCCCGGGGAAATGGCTCATCACTTACCACACACTGTCACTGCCCTTCTCCAGGGGATTCCCCATGGCATCGTAGTACACATCCACACTGAGGTTTCGATCTGTGTCGTGGGCTGAGTTGAAGTTGGTGATCACCCGAGAGGGAACCCCCAGGCACCGCAGCACTGCAAAGCCAAAGTCAGTATGAGAATGCCAGATGTGGTAGAGATGAACATACCCCATTACTGACCACTGACCCATAAAAGGCACACCGCACCCAAGTTACCTGTGTTGAGGGTACCGGCAAAGACCCAACACTGGCCAAACTGGACTGGCCTGAAGCCAGACTTTTTCCATTGCTTGAGGATCTCCACGCTGCCATTCCACGTCCTTGGGTCCACACCGCCTGAATAATTGCCGCTCCAGTTCCCAGAAATAACACCGTTGTCATCATTGCCATTGATCTGTGCAGAAACACCCCCACATCCCAACTGAATCAATGCCATGTCCTGCCTACAAGAGTGGCTTACAGAATTCAGAACACAAGGCAGAAGATGAGGAAGCCATGAGGCCTTGAGTTCACTTTTCTGTAATGAAAACTGTAACAAATCACTTTAGAGGGAGTGGAGCTTTTATGAGGTTAGAGGTACTTTGTTTAATGGGCCACGTTTGATTGCTCCTGAATAACATCAGTTCTGAGCTGCAGGATGATGCGGAAGTAGGAGACTCCACAGTTGGTCAGAGGCAAGACAGGGCCTGGAAGTCCTATTTGCAGAAGACAATGGCTGTCTGCTTGGCGGGGAGTTGGGGGTGGAAGAGGGTGGTGTGTTTATGGTTTGAAATGTGTGTGTGTGTGTGTGTGTGTGTGTGTGTGCTTGTCTTCCAAAAATTACTTTACAACTTTAACATATAAGTTCTCAGAGAAAATAAAGATGGAATAATTAACATTTCTTCCTTCTTATTCATTCATCCGTTTGTTCATTTATTCATCCAACTTAAGTATGATTCTAGGGTGAGGAACACAAATGTGTTACAGCATTGACGGAACACTGGGTGAGGACTCAGGAGGCCTGAGTTCTATTTTGCCGTTTCTTTTGGAGCGTACATGAAGTACTTACAGAGGAAATGGTATCAAAGGAGTCAATGCTGGGTTCATCAAGTCGTCTGTGGAGCAGGGGTCTGAGATGAAGTGAGACCCACCTTCCACAGAGTTGTTAGAGCTGATGGCGGGTCCCTGAGGACTTGTAAATTTCTCTCTACTTTTGCATCGGCCCGGATTTCTCCATAACAAAACTTATAAAAGAGAGCTGGGGGTGGCCGGGGCTCAGTAGTTGGGCACTCGCTAGCGTGTGTGCAGCTGGGTTCCTAGCGTGTGTGCTGCAGTCCCCAGCACTGCATATACCCACACTCGCCTTCACACACTGCCCGGTGAGAAAGGAGAAAGGGCTCATCAGCTTCCTGTCACCTGTCTTCTCCTGGGTGATCTTGGGAGTCAGTTTGCCTCCCTGACCCTTCACCTTCCAATACAGGGAAAGTGAAAAGTAGACGCATGAAGGGTACGCCTCAAGCCATCCAGCTTCCAGAGCCCACTAAACCCTGCTGTTTATCCCCCCCGAACAGTGAAGGCCTAGACTGGGACCTCACAGAGTCCTCAACTGGTCAGGTCTGCCCCTTCTCTTTGGAGCACACCTAAGTGTTCCAAGGCTTGTGAAACTGGGCAGCAGACACAGGAATATCCTGACTTCGGAGAAAGATCCCAGCCCAGAGGGGAGCTTCATTCCCCATCACTTCTAGCGCTGGCGTGCAAACTGTGGTCTCCTTGAATAGGGAGGCTGTGCAGCTCCCGGGCTCCTGGGTCAAGGGTGCTTGGGGTAAGGTCATTGCTGGCTGAAAGCCTAGTACTTCAAAGCTCTGCATAAGCCGTAATTAGCTCCTGGCCTGGCCCAGCCCAACAGGAGGGTCGGGAGAGAGTGGCAGGGAGGCATGTCTGAGGAAATCGGCTCTGAGATAGTGTGGGTTGGCCCCAGGCTGAGAGTGAGTCAGCAGCTGCTGGAGCCAGCTGGCTTCAAGCTGGACTCACCTACTCTCTTTGCTGGTAGGAAAACTGGCTTCGTAAGTGGGCCTGAACTCTAAGTTTTACTTGACCTCTGCCTCCATTGACTACTCCTTATCCAAGTGACTAGTTTTGCAAGATTCAGCCCAGTCCCCCTTAACTCCAGTCTCCCTCCTGGCTATTCTAGGCCTCATGGATCTGAAGGTCCTAAGTCTCTTTGGGTCTACTTCACTTCTTTCCTGCAAGGCTCCCTTCCAGATCCTGTTCTTTGGAGAAGCTCTCTCTAATTAAACTAAGTCATCAGCATGCCGCCTGTTCAGATTTCTAACAAAGAAACTGGGCAGCTTGGGAGTGGTCCAAGATAATAAACCATGGGCCAGCATAGAAAGACGCTAAAGATGTTTCTGGATGATTATTTAGTTCAGGAAAGCTACAATGGAAAAACTCATTTAGATTCTTAGCCTTCACTGGACACAGGGTCCCACTGTGAAGCCCAGACTGACTAGGAACTCATGATCCTCTGGCTTCCTCAGGCTCCCGAGTGTCACCACATCCAGGGACCTTTAAATTTTTAAATCCTTTTTGATGAAGACATTCTGTACCCAGTGAGTGCAGAGCTGTGGCTTCCTCCAAGATTGTGGGGTGTGTGTGTGTGTGTGTGTGTGTGTGTGTGTGTGTGTGTGTGTGTGTACTGTGGTAGGAGAGGCCCTGCCTGACCAGACAGCTCAAGGCCTTGTTTGACTCACATCTGCACACTGTGAACCCATCACATTAGCTCCTCCGGCTTCCTTCTCTGTCTAGAAAATGAGTGGGGCAGTCTGTTCTCCTCCTGTCATGCACTTGAGCATTCCATGCTGCCAAGGAGGCCCATATCCCAGTCTCACTGGGCACATACTTCCCTTCCTTGGAGGCCTCATGGTGAAGCAGAGGCCTCACTTTTCATCCCCCCTCCCATCTCATCCCTGGTGAACACCTAACAGGTATGTTCTCATGTCATCTAAGACAAGCCATGAGCCTCAAAAGAGCTTTGAAACCAGCCATGCTTGGGCTTAGTTGTGCCTTTGCTGCTCAGTCACTACCCCATGTTAGGCAAGCCGGTAGCTGACAGGAGTTCCATGTTCTCTATTGGCAAGATGGGCAAGGCCATAGCTACCAAACGCGCTTGGCATGGCTCAGAGGAGACATGGAGTGCGTGGATCTGATACACAGTCACATGGCAGCACAATAAGCTATAGAGGAACTTTAATTCATAACATAACTGCTCTGGCAAGAGACCACATCCAAAGACCTTCCAGGTCTGTGTGACCCTGCTCGAATACAGTCACACCTTTAATGCCAGGAGACAGAAGCAAACAGATCTCTGAGTTCAAGACCAACCTGGTATAAAGCAAGTTTCAGGCAAAGAAAATCGTAGGTCCAGGTGTGGTGGCCCACACCTTCACTCAGCACTCAGGAGTCAGAGGCATGCGGACCTCTGAGTTCTAGTCAGTTCTGTTCAGGCAGTTCAGTTGAGTCAATGAGCTGAGAGGCAGTACAGTGGGGTTGAGTTCATGGCAGCTCAGCTGTGGTATTCAGAGGCAGTTTTACTAGGAGATTTTTACAGAGACAGTTTTACAGAGTAAAGAAGCTAGATATAAGTAAAGACAGAATGAGCCAGAGAATGAAAAGGAGCCAGACAATTAGAATAAATTGCTAGAGTTAGTTTGAGGCCAAGAGGAGCTATTCAGTCAGAAGCTGAGAGAAGCCATTTTGAATCCAGTCCATTTGGAGAGGGGTTTGGGCCAGAACATCTGAGTTGAACCTGCCAGCCAGAGTTCAGAAAGAACTAGAAAGGGTGAGCTTATTTAGCAGTAAGTCTGAAAACACTGTAGGCTTAGATTAGATTGTACAGAGGCTAGAAGCTTCCAGAACTAGGTCTAGGTTAGCAGACAGGGGCAGTAAGCCTCGGAGATGACAATTACATCAGGAGAATAACAGCAAGGAGTGACACTCTCCCTTCCTATTACTTACCATGGCACTCAGCACCCGACAAACGTATTTGGGATCATTTCTGCGGGCCACGTCAGTTACAGGGTCACGACGGAAGTTCAGACTCCTATCCAAAATGGAGAGGCTGATGCTCAGAATGTCTTCTTCATACTGTTTATAATGGGACCACATGTTAAGATGAAAGAAATGACCCATTGTGTTGGCTAATTAAGGGAACAAGAAGCATAATGGCGAGGACCACAGGATCTCCCCACGCTCTTTCACTTTGTGGCCTTCAGAGCTAAGAGCTCTTAAGGAGCACACTGCAGCCAGCCTTTACCCGCCCACTCCACTAACGCCCACAGGAGCCAGCATGGCCCAGTTGACCCACAGCTCGCCGTGGACTTGGGAACAAGTTGGCCTTTCTAGCTTTGGCTTCTCAATCTGCCTAAAGACCGATCAAGCCAAACTCATCTCAAAGTTCCTTTGTGACTCTGACGGTGACCTTGAGCATGTCATTTAGATTCTTGGAAAGCTAGGTATAAAAATAAAATGTGTGTCCGAACACATATCTAAAGCTCGTTTTTACAAAATAAGGCACACATGAGCTGTTCCACACACTAGCTCTTCTTGCCATACATCTTTGCATTTGTTTCTCCTTCTTCAGGAAATGTTCTTCTGCAAGATAGCTACCTCTCCAGGCTCAAAAGCACCTTCTTAAGAAAGGCTTTCACGAAGCATCCCACTAAAAATAGCTCTGCTCCCACCCCTGGGTGTATAATATGCTCTTATCCTCATTTTTTTTTTTAAATGCAGTCAACACATAGACTCAACTTAAAATTTGCTATAGTTAGCTGCATAGTGGAACCTGAAATGGGCCAACAGGAACCTGATCACCCACTTCTCTGTGTGTAGGTACCCTGACTACCCAAGGAACTTCATTCTGATGCCTTTACTTATCACCTGGAAAATAAAAAGTGAAAAGGCGTTCCTAAACAGTTTCTAAGTTGAGAAACTGTGGGAACTCTCTGGATTCAGATGGTAATGTAAAACAAAGGCTATTGGCTGTGAAAGGCCAAATATACACAATGATGGAGCTTTATCACATTTTTGTGTGAGATGGAAAGAGGGAGCTACATTATTGTCCTGGGATTCCTTGCTGTGCCTTTTTCTTATTTGTGTGTCATGGCATCAGAAATATTTCACCCCATCAATTCGGTAATGAGTCCATCTAGCCTACTAGACTGTGACTCCTTTGGAGCAGGAAATTTATTCATCTGTATCATTGGCGTTCAGCTTAGGGCTTAGAACAGAGTAGGCAATCAACGAATGTGTTCCAAATGAATAAACAGATAGAAGAGCAAAAAAACCAGACAAACTCTGCTATAAGCCCTGAGCATATTGGGCATTAGGGAGGTAACGCCAGCTTTCTTATGGTCTTTTTACCTGTCCAAAATTCCAGCCAACCATGCCAATTCGATTTGTGCTGCCCACGTAGATGATGCCAGAATCTTCTTCAACATACTCTTGTCTTTCGGCGTGGTTACTCATAAAGACATCATCCGCTATTACACACATATACACAGACACACACACATAGAAAAACAAACAAACAAACAAACAAACAAACAAAGATAACTTAGTGAACCAATGAAATCAGTTCTCTTCCCACTCCTGAAAACTGGTGTTGGGGTTAGAGCAAGAGTCACTTTGGGTCCATCCCCCAATCTCTATGAAGAATGAAGTCTTGGGCTATGAGGCTTCCAGCTCTCACGGTGGGCACTCAGGCTTGAAAGAGAAGCAAGGCTGGCCTAAGAGTCTAAATACTGGACCCAAGGATGAGATATTTGCTCCTTCAGATAAAAGGGTACTGCCACATGGTAGAATTTTACCGTAGCCATTGCCTCTTATAATTTGTCATTCTGTACAGTGTATAAAAGCTCACACAATCCCCATGGAAGCCCCAGAAAATAACACTATGATGTGCACTTAACGGGGAAGAATTGGAGGATGAGCTTAGATTCGCACAGCTGGTAAGTGCAGACCTTCTGAGCAGCAGCTCTTCTGCCCCTTCCACAGCCCACTAACTTTCACCAATCAGATCTAGGCAGTCTACAAGGAGCACACCCTAACCATCTTTCTCTTTCACACTCGCCGCTTCTGTCAGGGCCATGTGGGAACGTGGGGTTAGAGACCTACCTTGCAGCCACGGGTTGAAGAGCACTACGAATGTGCCGAGCCTCAGAGAGGCGACCCTGCCCCTGGAGGAGAGCTCCAAATTCAGTGTGTACCACCCAATGGGGGCATTGGCAGGACTGGAAATAGAGACGACCAGACTGTTGTCATTGTTGGCCTTGAGCGCTGCGCTCCAGCCGCTTGTACTTCTCTCGGAGACTGAAAAAACAGCCTTTGTCCTGGCTGACTCTGAGGGCTGGGGGCCTGTCAAAGAGAGAGAAAAGTGAAGGCAACAAAGGGGTGCTTCAGAGAGAAAGCAGGCCTTGATGCAAGTTTCTCTAGGCCAGTGGCTCTCAACCTGTGGGTCACGGCCACCTAAGACCATTGGATAACACAGATGTATTTTCATTCTGATTTCCAACACTAGCCCAGAGCCCAATGGGCAACTCAGGACTCGTGTGCGGAGGGGGCAGAGTGAGTACCCGTGGAGGCGATGAAATTTAGATCTTCTCCAGACTCAAGACGTCGGTTGCAGAATAATACCATCTCCCAGGGGTATCCTCTTCGCACGATGAAGTCCTGGCTGGAGAACTTGTCTGTGTGGTGTGCCCTCCGATTCACAGACATCTGCCAGTTGACATTTTGGATCTCTAAAGCTGTGAGACAGAGAGGAGAAGCTAAAGCCTTGTTGGGGAGGGGAGAAGCGTGCAGCATGCCAAAAAGGCATCCAAGAGGAAGGGGGCAACGTAGAGCTGAAGGTCTAGAAGCAGTCCCGTGAAGACACAAAAGCTTTGATTCTGCACGGCAGAATGGTCATCACTTGATTCCATTCAGCCTTACTGTACTCAAGTACTCCAATTCACATGACCCAAGATCACATAAATGCCCTGCCTTCCAGATGGCCAAGCCAAGGCACACACTATTTCCTCTGCCCGGAGTCTCTCCTTCCACCTGATGACTTGTTATTAGGCCTTGAGGTGTAAGTAGGCTGAACACTCAGGGAAATATCACTCAACCGGCGAGAAGAACCGTGCCAGGAGAGACTGGGGAGACAGTTTGGTGGTAAGGTACTTGCTGTGAAAGTGAGAGGACCTAGGTTCAGATCCTGAGCCCTACATTAACAGTTGGGTGTGGTGGTCTGCCCTGTAGCCCCAGCACCAGGGCTGGAAACAGGCGGGAATCCGGGGCTTGCTCATGAGGCAATGTAGACGAAACAGCAAGCTCCAGATTCAGGGGAAGACCTTCCTTGGGAAATGTGGTGGGGGGCACTGAGGAAGGCTCCCGGATAACCATAGACAAGACATCCCCAAGCACACTTGCAAACAGTACACTCCAGGACACACACAGGAGGGGGGGGGGGAAGGGAAAGAAAAGAGCAATCTCCTCAGAGCTCCAGCAGATCCAAAAGGAGGCGATTTCTCTAACACCCAAATGCATTTTACCAGGCTTACGTCTATATATTCTAGCTTTATCTCTGTATTCACCAAATCCTTGGGCGCTAGAGAGACCAAGCGTGCCCTTAAGCAGCACTGACAGGCTTGGAGGTGGGGGATGTTAGCAGAAATGACTTGTAAGTGCTCTCTAGAAAAAGTGCTTCCAAGGACAAATCTCCCAGAACACATCCTCCTCCCCTTCTTCTCAGATGATTGTGGAAGCAATGGAGTGAAACTACATGAGGCTTATGAGACATAACGTGATATATAAGATATTTAGCTCAAACAAACTTGCTGAGAAGTCTTACTCTTTTGAGTTATGGCTGGGATGTTACACCACTCATTCCTCTGCAGACCAAACTGGTCTTTGTTTTCATGATGAAGTACAGTTTTGATGAATATATGATGACACATCCCAGGGTCAGAAATCATTCCAATTTGTATGGGTTGACAGATGGTCTGTGAGGATACACTTTCTTGATCTTTATATTTTGATGCCTAGCACACCACTTGACTGATCAGACACACAGGGAATGAAGTAATATGTAAATGAACAAGGAAAAGCTAACATCAAAAAATAACTGTCTTGGGGCCTGGAGAGATGGCTCAATAATTAAGAGCATTGGCTTTTCTTCCAGAGGACCCAGTTAGGGACCCAGAACCCACCGGGGGCTAAGAACTGTATGTAGCTCCAATTCAGGGGACCTTATACCTTTATCTGGCTTCTGCAGGCCACTAAGCACACAGGTCATGCACAGACATGAATGCAGGCAAAACAGCCACACACATAAAACAAAGATAGATAGATAACCAAAACCTGTTTTGAATACAACTCAAAATGTAGTCTATATAACAAGGTAATTGTAGGATATTCAAAGTGTGTTGTTTGTGCGTGTGTGAGAAACCTATTATTTGTAAAGCACTGTTAGACACGTTGGCAAGAGAAACATGGGAAATGTAGTTTGAAAAAGAAAGGTCTTTTTCCGTAGATAAGACAAGAGAAAACTATGGTGAATGATGGTATGGGAAGAATCTATTTTCTTTCAACTAAAGGTGCACGAGAAATGGAAACAAGAGAAAAGTGTGTGTGTTTGTGTGTGTGCACACACACATATATCTGTATATATGTGTGTGTGTGTGTGTGTGTGTAGAGATCAGAGTCTGTAGAGATCAGAACAGCTTTACTGAAAAATTTGGCCTTAAAAGAAAGCAAAAAAAGAAAAAAGTGGTACTCAGTATATCTAATCACCAGGAAATGCAAGTCAAAATCACAGTGAAATATTACTGTGAAATATTATCCCAGTGGGAATCAATACTACCAAAAATACAAAAGATAAGAAATGATATGAGATAATAGAAAAGAAACCCTTATACACTGTTGGTAAAAATGAAAATTATTACACTGCAGCTTTTATGGAAAACAGTATGGAGGTCCTCCAAGACAAATTAAAAGTTGAACTTCCCTGTGATTGTGCAATCACACCATCAGTATGTATCAAGAGAAATGGAATAACTAGAAGGAAATCTCTATTTCCATGTTTATTTTAGCTTTCAGTGGGGAGGAGTCAGGGTCTTGCTGTGTAGTCCAGACTAGCTTATTTTAAACATTATTCATAATAGCTAAGAAATAAAAACAACCTAAGCACAAGTCTGTTCATGAATGGATAAAGAAATGTGGTATCTACATAGACAATGAAATGTTACTCAGACATAGAAAAATGAAGTCTCATTTTCTGGGACAAGCGTGGGTAGAGCTAGAGGACATTATGTTAAGTGTGAGAAGCAAGGCACAGAGTACAATGTGGGTTCGTTCACTTGTGGAACACGGAAAGGCTGATTTCATAGAAGTTGAGGGAAAAATGGTGCTGGCCAGAGACTGGAGACTACGAATGGACAGATAGCTGGGGAAACGCTGACCAGTGGGCACCAAGTTACAGCCAGATAGGAGTAAGGAGTCCTGTGATTGTTAGAAATGAAAAGTTTTTGAGGAGATAGAAATGTTCAACCAGAATTTAACAACACATGATGTACACAAATAAATAGCCACACCATGCCTCCTAAGTATGTGCGATTCACATAGACTTTGGGAGGGGAGAGCTTCATTGGATGCCAAAGGACATTCTGCATTCCAGACAAAAAGGCTCCAAAGGCTCTGGGAAGTGAGGTATAATTGCCTGTCTAGAGCAGGGGTCCTGTCCTGAAGGAGAAAATGGGGGGTCTGAGATAGGCGCTTCTACCACAGCAACTTCAGACAGATGAGCTCTTTCTCTGGGCTGGTGAGCCAAACACTGCTTTTGGAGAATCACAATGTGATCTTGCCACTGGATCAGGCTACTAAATATTTTTTTCATTCATAAATTTCCTATTCATTCATGCATTCATTCACTCCACAAACATTTATTGAAAGAATAAGTTAAAGCATTTTTATACAAATTAGGGGACATCAGATTGAGACAGCTCAGACCTAGGACACTGCCTGGCAGATGTGCAGAGCTGTATACAGCTAGGGACTAGGGACTAGGTCTGTCTAGTCCCTAGACTAGGCAATGGTCACCCACTTTCAAAAACCCTGTCTTCTGTGATTTTGCTCACTACCTTCTGAGCATCCCAGATGCTGAGAAGTGGTAGAGATTTGCTTTTTGTCTTGTTTCAAAGAAAAGAGGGGCTTTGCTGGATGGTGGCACATGTCTTTGATCTCAGCACTCAGGAGGTCGAGGTGGGTGAATCTCTGAGTTCAAGACCAGCCTGGTCTACAAAGTGAGTTCTAGGAAAGCCAGAGGCTGCTACATAGAGAAATCCTGCCTCAACAAACAAACACAAAAGAAATACAAATAAATAAGGAAAAGAAAGAAGAAAGGAAGGAGGAAAGAAAGGGAAGGAAAGGAAAAAAGAAAAAGTAAGAGAAGAGAAGAGAAAAGAAAAGAAAATTAAAGAAAAGAAAAGAAAAGAAAAGAAAAGAAGGGCTTAGTGCGACATGCAATTTCAGAAGCCCCGAGCCTCCCTGGATTTCTTCATCCCCAAAACGATGCATGCCAGGAGGTAAAGCTCACTCTGCTAGACCATGAGCTGTTTGGGAGCAGAAGGTGTACCCCAGATGGCCCTCTGTTGAGAACAGGGAAGGCTAGAAGGGTGGAGAGATCCACATTTATGGTTGGCATCTGTTTCCTCTCCAACAGGTCTACCCTTCTTTGCTCTCCTAACATTTGTGCTCTCTGCTGCAGCTGTGTCTTCCTCATTCAGTGTAGAGACCATTGGCTGTGCTTGGAAGGAATGCTCAAGACGAGACTGAACTTCAGGGTGCCGGGGCTGTAATGACCTGGTCCTTCCCACCAGGCATGCCGCACACAGGTCAGGTGCAGTGTGATCGTCGTGATGATGGATGACTAGAGCATTAGCTGAAGTTTACTGGGCTTTGATGTGCTTACCATCACCCCAGGTCTTTACCTGGCTTAGCCCATTAATGCTGTGAGCTGCATTCGGAGTCACCTGCCTTACAGATGAAAGAGCCAAGATGAGGGGAAGCCTTGGTCATAGTTACCCCATTCTTGAGTGGGTTACGGTAGATACACAGACACAAGAGTCATGAGTAGTTTTGTGAGATATGCAAGGCTTCCCTGAGCTGTAGGAAGAAGAAAAGGCTGACTCACATTTGTCACCAACATGCAGTATGTCATTGGTTGGCCACACAGAGAATCCATTATGTGTGCCATCCATGAACTTTGACAATCGAAAACAAGCTCAGGAGACAAGGCCTCCCACCCGGTACCCAGAAATCAGCCGGACAGGGACTACACTGTGTGACAGAATAAGAAACGTACATTTGGTCTCTGCCTTTTCCTGGCATAAGTCTCCTAAAACATTAGGAATCTTGGAAAGGGTGAGTGTCTTTTTAAACTAATGATAACTGGTGTTTGGGTGCTTCTAACAGCCTCAGGATAGTGGCTTATTGCCTGGGAAACCAACCATGTGGTCAGAGGTCTGGAGAGTTCAGTATCATGACCCTGCTCTTCAGAAAGGAGAAACTGATGTGATCATCAATGACTATGGTCACCATTAATCATTAACTAACTCTGTAATCAATCAAGAATGCCTATGTCATGAAGCTTCATAAAACCGGAAAAGAGAGCTTGAAGAGCTTCTGTGCTGGAGAATATCAGAGATGCTAGGAGGGTGAGGACTTACTTTGCCCTTTGTGTCTCTCCATCTAACTGGCCTGACCTTTGATAAGAAACTGATAGTCTAGTGGATGCATTGTTTTCCCGAGTTCTACGAGATATTCTA